TCTTCTTCTTCTTCATATCCTTCTTCTTAGTAGTATGATTATGTTTGTTCATAATATTCTTACTATTAGTGTCATTAATAATATGTTTTGTCGCTTCGTTTTCATATGTTTGTTTCTTCTTCTTCTTCGTCGTCCTCCTCCTCCTCCTGAGTATAGTTATCTTCCTCGCCACCCTCCTAAAACTCCTGATATCACTCGTCCTCTCCCCCTCTTCATCCTCCTTTGCCTCCTCCTTATCATCATCCCCCGCCTCCTCCTCATCCTCCTCCTCCCCCTCCTCCCCCTCCGTTTCTGCCTCAACCTCCTGCTTTCCGCAAGTCATCACCATCATCGGCATCATCATCCCCATCATCATATTCATCATCGTGTTCATCACCATCATCACCAATCATACTCATCATCATCATCAGCAGCATCAGCATCTCCATGTTCATTATCATCAGCGGCAGCCTCATCAGCACCGCCATCATCAAAACCATCAGAACCATCATCATCACCAATATTCATCACCGTCGCCGCCATAATCACCATCATTAGCGACAGCCGCATCCTCAGCATCAACAGCACCATCGTAACCAGATTCCTCATCATCACCATACTCAGTTTACTCATCATCCGCATCATCATCAGCATGAGTAGCATCAGCATCACCAGCACCATCATCATCGACACCATCACCATCATCACCAGCAGCAACATACCCGTACTCAGAATCGCAATAAGCACCTTTTGCAACTACATGTATCAGCAGCATCAGCAGCATCATCATCAGCACCATCATCAGCAGCATCATCCTCACCATCATCATCACCATAATCAGCGACACCATCATCATCACAGTCAGCATCAGCATCAGCATAAGCATCATGTTCCTGTTCATTTCCATGGTCATCATGATCGGCATCATCATCGGCATCACAGTCAGATACATGTTCATGTTCACCCGCATCACCATGATCAGCATCATCACCACCCCCATCATCATCATCAGCAGCGTCATAATCACCATCATACTACTCACCATCATCATCCTCGTCCTCCCCATCCTCCTTCAAAGCACCGTCATCAACATCATGAGCACCAGCATCAGCAGCAGCACTAGCATCCGCATCAGCACCAGCATCAGCAGCATCTGCAGCAACAGCAGCATAATCATTCTCCGTCCTCCCCCTCATCCGCCCGCCCCCGCCGCCGCCGTCACCCCCCGCCCCTTCCAGGTGAGCGGCGAAGATTGAGGGGAACGGGGGCAAGCAGGCAGATCTGCACCGATCCACCTCCTTCTCCTCCTCCCCCTTCTCCCCCCCCCTCCTCCTTCCCCTCCTCCTTCTCCTCCTCCTCCTCTTGCCTCCTGCCCCCTCCTCCTCCCCCTCCTCATCCTGCTCCTCCGTATCCCCCTCCTCCTCCTCCTCTGTTGCACTGTTGCACTGTTGCGTCCTAAATCCACTCTAAGAGCAGAAAAGGATACAAGATCTAAGGAAGACGGGCGACGGGCGACCCGAGTCGACGCATCATCGCCAGCGTCGTCGCCGTCGCGGTCGCCCCTGCCCCCCTCCCCTCCCTTATCCCACCCCTTCAAGCAGAGCCCTGGCTGTGGCCAGGGGCGCCCATCGCCTGCTCTGCGCTGGAGTTAGAAATCAACAGGCTGTCGGGAGCAAGCCTGTCCTTGCACTCTGATCCTAGGGAGGGGGCGGGGGGGGGGAGGTCGGAGACCTTCAACAGCTAAACAAACCAAGAGGGCCCAAACATGCACACGCACACAGACACACACACACACACACACACACACACACACCACGCACACACCACACACACACACACACACACCACACAGCACACAGCACAGCACACAGCACACACCCTAATACTCGAAGGCCTTACAGCTTCGCCGTTTAGGAAGCGTCGGGGCTGCCGGCCCGTGGCAGGCGCGCGCTCTGCACGCCAAGGCGGTGCGCGGAAAGGTCGCGCGAGCGAGGCCGTCTTCACCTCCCTCTGGCGCGCGAAACCTTCCTGATCCCGAACCCCTCATTATCCCGATGAACTTCCCCGGCCCTTAATGTTCAAGACTGCACGCAATGCACGGAATGGGCCAATCCTTATTCAATCTTCGACTCACCTGCATCTTGAAACCACAGGACCCGCAGTACCTGACACAAGTTGGTGGTCTGGGCATCGCGAGGGGCTTGGGGTTGGGTGGAGCAAGGAGCCAGCCCGTCTGGCTCGAAGGGCTTCTCCTTGTGGCTGGCCTGGCCGCTGCCTGGCTCAAAGAATTCCTCCTCGTGGCTGGCCAGGCCCGTGCCTGGCTCGAGAGGCTCCTCCTTGTGGCTGGCCAAAACGCTGCCTGGCTCGGGGGCTCCCTTTGTGGCTGGCCAGGCCGCTGCCTGGCTCGAGGGGCTCCTCCTCGTGGCTGGCCAGGCCCGTGCCTGGCTCGAGGGGCTCCTCCTAATGGCTGGCCAGGCCCGTGCCTGGCTCGAGGGGCTCCTCCTTGGGGCTGCATCCTGCCTCCTGCCTCCTCATCCGGCTGCTCCTCACCATGAAATTCAACAACAACAACAACAACAACAACAACAACAACAACAACAACAACAACAACAACAACAACAATCATTTTACCCGAACGCGTGGTGTTCTCCCCAGTGCCAGGGTTTTCATACGACACCAGGCAATACCCCCACTTCGTGGGGGGGCATTACAAGCTCTACCAAATATCCAAACGACTCTTCGCGACCACCCAAACCCAGCTTCCCGCCCTATGACGTTGGGACACTTCACTTCGTGGCGTGCGGACGACCGTGGCTACTACACTGGCGTGGGGTACACACCCACAGAACTTGGTCACTTATTCGGGGCGCGCAAATATCATGATGCGCGGTGCTAAAATTCTTAAGAACCCAATGGTTTTTGGAGATTTCGGCGTGCGCGCGCAAAAAACGAATGTGTCCCGCATGGTATTATTTGACAGGGATGATGGCCCTGGCAGGTGCGCAACCGTTGTCGCAGAAGTTCGAAAAAGTTGCTCGCAAAAGCCCGTTTGACAGAAATGTTTAAAAAGTGTTGGGTTTCCTACGAATCCGCAAGAGCGCGCGGGATGAGATTTTGACATTTTTTTGTTGAAAAACCATTGGTTTTTTGATGTTTTTATGTTAAAATCGCTCCGAACACTAAGCTTTTGGAAGGATTTCGTCTTGCGCGCGCGAATGTCCACTTTACCTTATTTTTTGCAAGGGATTCTTGAAGCTTGGTTATTTTAGAACAAGAAATTTCATTTTATAGTGTTTTTTGCAAGGGACAGCGGGGGGGAACAAAACAACCGGATCTTGATGACATCGTATTACCTGAGGCTTCCTCACGAAAATGATGAAAATGTAGCTGCGGCCTAGGCGCGGCGGGGGGGCCGTGCACCAGGGGCCCCAACAATAATTATTCTTTAGAATTAATAATGTTCAACAACAACAACAACAGTAGCAGCAGCAGCAGCAACAACAACAACATCATCAACATCATCATCAACAACATCAGCGACAACAAGAACAATAACAAGAACACAAACACTAACAATAACAATAACAACAACAATAAAAAAAAAATCATAGCAATAATTATGATAACAGCAACAACAGTTACAACAACAAACAACAACCACAACTACAACAACAATCATGTTAAGACTGGTAGCTCTTATCTGATCGAGTGTCCATTAACGCGTATTTCCCAAACACTCGATACCCGCCCTCTCTTCAATCGCACCCCTTTGGGGGGTATACCTTTCTTCCCAGCAGGCCGGGCCCCAGCAAGCGGCGGGGCGGCCGCGGACCGTCGGCCTGGCCAGCGGCAGCGCTGATCGGCGGCAAC